AGTTTTGCTGGGTATAGTAGTCTGGGCTGGCATCCATGCTCTCTTAATGTCTTCATAACGCTTGACCATGACCTTCTGGCTTTCATTGTCTCTAATGAAAATCAGATGTAATTCTAATAGGTCTGCCTTTTATGTTTCTAGGTCTTTTTCCTTTGCAGCTCTTCATATTATTTCTTTACTCTGTATTTTAGTGTTTTGAATATTATGTGGCAAGGAGACTTTTTTATCTAGTCTATTTGGTGTTCTGTAAGCTTCTTGTATCTTCATAGGCATGTCTTTCTTTAGGTTGGGAAAGTTTTCTTCTATGATTTTGTTAAATATGTTTTCTGTGCTTTTTAGTTGAACTTTTTCTGTACCTACAATTCTTAGGTTTGGCCTTTTCATGGTGTCCCATATTTCCTGGATATTTTGGGTTAAGCTTTTGTTAGATTTGATGTTTTCTTTGATTGACGAGTCTATTTCCTCTATTGTATCTTCAGTATTGGATTTACTAATGTCTTCCAATTTTTTGTTTGTCTTTTCCTCCATTTCTTTGAGGGAATTTCTCATTTCCTTTTTAAGAATTTCAAACATTCTCCTGACGTTATATTTCAGATCATTTTCTTCTGCTTCATCTATATTTGGTTATTCAAGTCTTACTGTTGTAGGGTCTTTAGATTTTACTGGTGCCATGTTTCTCTTTGTGGTCTTTCATGTGTTCCTACCTTTTCTACTCATCTTTTTCTCTAATGGGTGTGATTGGGGCTGTCTGTGATTCTGTTGATTAATCTAGGTGACAGTGAATCTAAGCTCAGATAGTTGTTCCTCATGGTACAGTCAGTGCCACGCTTCTCGTTACCCCTTTGGTCACTCTGTGTTCCTGGTGGTTGCTCAGGACTCCCGGGCTTTACTCCACTCTCTTGGAGTTTGCTGTCTCAGACTTGTTCTAGCCTAGGTTGCCCGCTGAAATGTGTTTCTGTAAATGTCCCTGATCTGGATCCTCTCCTGCAAATGTCCCTGGCTTGGAGTTGGCTCTGTAAAGGACTCTGTCTCCGGTCTACTCCCTCAAAGTTCCTAGGCTTGGGAGCTCCCAGACCCACAGAGGACCTGGCTCAGGCTTACTCCTTCAGAGTTCCAGACTTACATTAGGACCTACAGATGTTTCTGGTTTCTGTTAGTCCCTTTGATTTTCCAGACCAATGACCGGACTCATAGAGGTTCTGACTCAAGCCTACTCCCTCTGAGGTCCCAAACTCAAACTTGGACTTCCAGAGATCTCTGGTTCCCTCCCACTGCCTCAGAGGTCCCAGATTCATGCCCAGACCCACAGAGGTTCTGGCTCATGCCTAGTTCCTAAGAGGTCCTAGACTCAAGCCCAGACCCTCAGGGGTCCAGGCTTAGGTCTACTTCCTTGAAGGTCGCAGATTCACGTCCAGACCCTCAGCAGTCTCTGACTCTGTCTCAATCGCTCCGCAGTTGCTCCCCTGTACCTGTTCCTGTGGAGTTCGCTGTCTCAGGTCTGCTCTGGCCCAGGTCCCTAGCTCAGTCTTGGTCTGCTAATGCCCCTGGACTGGATCTGCTCCCGTTCCCATGTTCTCAGGCCCACTCCGGCCTATGTCTCTTACTGCACTTCTACCTCAGTGACCTCCAAACTACCTCTCACACCTCCAAACCATGTGTTCTCCTACTTGCTCACACTATACCTTCTTTCTTCTCTTCTTCATTTCTTCCTTGCTTTCCTTCTTAAACAGCTATACTCTTAGATATAAAAACTATCTATGAACTACACCATTGCCAGGCACTACTGTGACACCACGTTTTCTGATCCTTGAGTGGAAGCCAACAGTAATGCAAGTTTGCTAAGACCAGGGAGTCAGGACTCTGATAAGTGAATAGGGCCACTACTCTGTGTTTCCCAAATAACTGCAGAAAATTTAATTAATAGTGAAAACTCTCTAACATGGATCACACAGAACACTAAGAACTAAGAATATTAAGATTAAAAACCAGAGGATGCAGAGCAGCTGTGAAATGATGTCTTCTGGACTTGAAATCCTGTTGTACTCATGAACCAAGAAAAAGGTGTGGCTACCTACACAGGCTTGGGACAATCAACATTGAACATAGATGGGGAGGACCTTATGAGGCCCCATCCATCCCAGAGAAGCAATGGGCTATTAATATTGATGGGAAAAGGAGCTCATTTTAATTAGTCATAGCCATGAATATGTTGTCCTTGATCAAGTGAATAACCACAACCCAAACATACTCATGTAAGCAAGCCTAAAAATCCTTGAATGCACACACATACACACACACACATACACACACACACACACACACACACACACACAAATGAAGGAAGAGTAGGACTTGCTTGTAGAAAAGAATCAAGCAAATGGCAGGGAGTGGTGTGATAGAATATTGGAGGAACTCACTCAGTGGAGGCATCAAACCCAGGCACTGACCAAGTTGTCACCACGATGAGCTATCAAGGACATTATCAGTGCAGAAGGAGTGGGTGTTGTGGACCATCCTCATAAAGACAGCAGATAGAGACTGCAGAGTGAAGGCATGGGTGGGAGTCAGACATCACCACCCAGAGAAGAAAGGGTCTCCCACCAAAGAGAAAAGCTATCTGGTGGGGATCATTACATATTGACTTGAATCCTTGAAATAGGGTTTGTGTTGAGTTAAAATAACCACAAAGGCACAGAAAGAGAACTAAGACATCTACCCAGGCTCCTGATGGGACTGAAGGGTCAATGGACTGAGAAGGCTGACTCTTGGTTGTGGGAGGAGGAGGCTAAATAGCCCTGTATAGGAGTCCCTACTTCCCTTCCTCATATCAGTGTAGCCAGGGAGTTGAAGGAGGAAATGCTGTGAGCCGGAGGCCATGATGGCCCACTCAGGTAACGGTTTTAATGATGTACACTGGGATAGGATCCCTCTGAGTCATCTGCCATACTCCTGATGGAGTCTCTCCAGGGTTCCTGCCAACTCACCAGCAGAGGGTGGCTATGAGGCTGAGTTTGTCCAATGTCTCTGGTATACCCATGGAGGCCATTCAGTTTGGTCCCAGATGCCACAGAGGATAAAGCCGCCTTAATTGGCCACTGGAGACAGCAAGTCCCAGCTCATCCATGCAGAGCATCCTCCCCAACAGAGTGACCCCAACTATAGACACCCACACACTGCACTGATAACAGACATGGAAGAGGAGGAAAGGCCAGCAAACCCAGACCTCACATTTCACAAGACACAGAGTCTGCTGCAGCCAAGACTTGCACACACAGACTCTCAGTCCAGGTCTACACCTCTGCCCATACCCACCTCATTCTACTGTCCAGAAAGCCATAGCTGACCTCAAGAAGGAAAGGGAACCCATGGTGTCCATCTTCAGCACAGACCAGCCTCAATAGCATGGGGACCTGAGGAGCATGGGTGGTGGTATCTGACTTTGTGTGAGTCCTGAGTCTCACCTAGATAAGGTAAGGTCAGCATGTTATCTGTCAAGAAAGCTAAAAGTAGAAGATGCCATATATGGCAAACATCAGGGGTGGGTGCTCACGAATAATTGTGGACTAACTCTGTAGACAAAGGTATTCTGTTGTGGTCAAGCATCACATTAGTCCAGGTCACAGTTAGCACTTCTGCATTGTCCCACACAGGGTCTTCATCTTGAACAGCAACTCCAAGTTTACAGTCATGTGGGATGAAGCTCTGAAAACATCACAAGACAGTGATGCTGCTGGCTTAAAAGGGGCAAGGCTAAGGCAAGCACAGCCTGTGTCTTTACTGTCACTGTAACACTCTTCTCCCACAGCAGACCTTCCACAGCTACCTTCTCCTTCTACATAGGTCTCTAGATGTATTTGATCCTTGGCAAGCTGGAGAGATTCTGCTTGTCCTTGCTCCAACAGGAAATATAGTACCAGCTCTGGTGTAGACATATCTATACACATCACACTGGTCACAAGTGAAACCCATATGGTAATGTCTTAGATCCCTGTCAGGGTCAACTGTGAGCACAAAGTTTCCTACACACCTTTGACCTTACATGGGAAAGTCAGCTCTGTAGCATATTGTGAAATCATATAGACAGATTCCATGACCTCATTGTGTACAGTATATGATAGACAGGGCAGCAGCTAAGTACATACACTGAGGGATTTCCATGAAATTTGAGGCTAATGTAGAGCAGATATTTTGTTCCTCTCTAGGCAGCCTCCCATGTTACTCCTGGGACAAACAGTAGCAATCATAGCTACCTGACGAGAAATTTGTCTACATTCCAGACTGGACATAAAGAGAAGAGAAAGTAAGCATGAATGGCCCAAAGACACTGGTTTTAACTGGCAAAGAGTAAGACCTTGTGAACCCCAAAGCTGAAGTTGGAGCAGGGAACAGAGCAGGCAATGAGATCAGATTAGTGACCATGATTGTGTTCTGGTTTATTTTGGGGCATGGTGCTGCCTCCTCACCCTAATTTCCAACATCTAGACATTGGCAGAAGCTGTTCACATCAACAAGCAGAGTCTGATTGTCACTGTGTGCCAGTCTTTGAGCTACAGCTTCTGAGGTGAGATCAGAGTCTGAGTCTTGTGAGGGACATAGACACAGTCTGAGTCTAGGAAGATCAATTTCTTGCTGTGACACCACCCTACAAAGGGAAGAATAACCCACTCCAAATTTATTGGAGGACACCTGGTACTCATGAACATTTTTGAATCAGTAAGGTGAATAACTATGGAATATTTAATGGGACGTGGGAAACAGCTGCTTCAATGGCACTGCTCAGGGGTGTCCCTTGGGTGTGTGAGCACAGGAACCAGAGGCAGACATAGGGATACTGAGAGGTCTGTACTCTGGGAGTCACTAAGTCTGGAAGTCTCTTTATAGCCTCAGCTTACGAGCTCAGGCTTCCACACAGGAGGACTCAGCACAACTTCGTGAATTAAATAACTCTGAGGAAATTCCCTTTTCAGGCCACACAAGCTCATCTGGAAAGATACCAGAGTAGCTACTGAACTATTGCACAAGGGTCAGCATGTGACCAACAAGCTCCTGCAGCCTGAGGCACATCCGGCCGTACTGGTGAGATCTGCTCCCTCTCTCTGCCTCCCCCACTCTCTCTTCAGCTGTCCCCACTCATGGTCAAACCAGTCCACAGAAATGGAAGTCTACCAGCAGTGTCCTTGCAGGGATTTGTGCTGGTCGGATTTGGGGGAAGTGCAGAGACCCAGGTCCTGCTCTTTGCTGTCTTCCTGCCTCTGTACATGCTGACTGTCCTGGGAAACCTCACTATGATCGTGGTCATCACACTGGATGCCAGCCTGCACTCCCCCATGTACTTCTTCCTCAAGAACCTGTCCTTCGTTGACCTCTGCCTCTCTTCTGTGATAGTGCCCAATGCCCTGGCCAACATTTTCTCCTCTTCCAAGGTCATCAGCTTTGAGGGATGTGCCACTCAGTTCTTCCTTTTCTCCTTGTTGGCTGCCACCGAAGCTGTCCTCTTAGCTGTGATGGCCTACGACCGTTTCATGGCCATCTGTAGTCCCCTGAGGTACCCTGTGACCATGAGCCCTACGACCTGTGCCCGTCTGGTTCTGGGTACCTTCTGTGTTGGCTGCCTGAACTCCATTGTCCAGACCAGCCTCACGTTCCAGCTGCCCTTCTGCAGTTCCAACCACATTGATTCCTTCTTCTGTGATGTGCCCCCACTGATCAAGATTGCTTGTGCAGACACAACTCTCAATGAACTTGTCATGTTTGGTATCTGTGGGTTCATCATTGTGTGTGCTGTTCTTGTGGTCATCATTTCTTATGGCTACATTACAGTGACCATCCTCAGGATGCAGTCAGGGTCAGGGCAGCACAAGGTCTTCTCTACCTGTGGCTCCCACATGACAGCTGTAACATTGTTTTATGGAACTGGTTTTGCTATCTATGGCCAGCCAGGGGGTATGGAATCCATGGAGCAGGGCAAGCTGGTCTCCATCATATACACCCTGGTGATCCCTATGTTCAACCCCCTCATCTACAGTCTGCGCAACAAGGATGTAAAGAATGCCCTGAGGAGACTGGGTCAGAGACACAGTCTGGTGAAGAAGAGTGGCTGGTGTCATCATTAGGGACTACACTAGGGTCATAGAAGAAAAGAATTCTTGGGAGACAGACTATCTTATGGTATTTCTACCTATTCTGTTTTATTTGCTCTCTCATTTCTTACTTCTTTTTGTTCATTGATGTATTCATCCACCCAAATATCCACTCATCTATTTCCCATATATCCTGTCTTTCATGAATGTGTATTATTAGGCAGACATTTACAGAATGAGAATAAGACACATTCATTGCCACCAAATTGTCCATAGATGGAAGAATCCGGAATCCCTTTGATTTGGCACAGGACAGAGCATTATGACCGGAAACAGGCTTGGGAACCATTGTCAACATTTCCCAGTGAAGCTACATAACGGCACATTTCTCTACAATTCTTTCCTTTTGTTTCATCACTATATATAATGTCAGTGTAGTGGGATCTTCCCTCTGAGCATCTAAGAATGTGACTTTTAGAAGTTATGTGTTGACTCATTCTTGTATTGATCTCGTATGAGGATGGGCTAAAAGACAATCTCTGCAGACTTCCTCCTCTGTTTTACAATAGTACTGTTTCCTTTACCTTCCTCTGCTCATGAAGCTGCCCTCCTCATGAGGTATCACAGTGTACTGCTGGAGCCCTGAGGAACCTAAATGCAATTGACATCCAGCACATTCCTTACACCTCCAGCCAGAGGTTATAGATGAAGATGTAGGTAGATTCGCAGTTCAGGAAACCATTAAATCCTGGCCATGGAGATGTGACCATATCAAGGTGTTAATTTATCCTCCATGTAATATTGAAGCCTTGGTGAACTCCACTTTACAGTAGCCTGCTGCCCTCTGCACATGAGAGTTGCCTTTGTTCCTCCGTGCCCTGTGTGTCTAATCTCATGCTGTTCCTTCCATGGAGACCTCCAAGGGGACAGGTGATCTGACCTCTAAGCAGGGCTTGCTCTTCCTCCCAGTTTCTCTCTGAGCATCCTGCAGTTCTCCATCCCGTAGCCCATGGGTTGTATGCTTCACACCCCAGCGTCATCTCCTGGTTTCAGCTAAGACTGACTTAGCTGGTCAGTCTTCCTTTCTTTGAGCAGTTCTGGAACACTCTGTTCGTTGAATGGCATGAATCTCAACTCTAGTGATCTTCTCGCCCCCAACTTCACTTCCTCTGTTTATTCTGTTCTCCACCACACTATTCCTTTTGCTATACTGTAAGGATTCAGCAATGAAGGAACAACCCAGGTGGTACCTCCCCTGCTTATTCCATGTTAGAAAAGAACAGCTGACAGTGTCTTTTTCTCACTGTTACTCAGGCGTCGTCTCTTCTTTGTCTTGTAGATGGACGTGGTGCAAACTATGAAGAAAACAATCCAGACAGCTGGAGCAGCCTTAAGATGCTTTGGGCGTCACTGACCAAGTATCAGGGCTTTGAATTGCTCTGTGGTCATATATGGGTCTTTCTTCTGTTGCTAGAAGAACGCATGGTGCTCTCTCACTAAAGGAGGAGGCAGATCATGAGAAGGCAGTGTCATCCAGATACTCCTTCCCTTGCACTCTGATTGCAGATGCACAAGGTCCCCTCAGGGATGGTGGCTGATGTGCTGAGGAGGTGGCAGGCGTTTTATAGATGCTGGGAACTCAACCTCGGGTCTCGTGCTTACTGAGCCAGAATTTTATCCACCATAAAAAAAAAAAGCCCTAGTTTCTTTTCTTCTTGCTGTGACAAAGAGCACCAGACCAGACAACTCAGGTTTATTTTGGCTTACAGTTCGGGGGAGGGGGCGCACAGGCCATCAAGGCTGAGAAAACACCACAGGGGATGTGGGCAGTGGATCACACTACATCTGCAATTGGCAAGTAGACAGCAACCAGAAAGAAGCCAGGGTATAAATCTCAAGGTCGTTCCAGAGTGACCCACTTCCCCTAGAAAGGCTTTATATCCTAAAGTTTCCAGAAGATTCCATGGTATCTCTAGCTGGGGACCAAGTATGAAAACACATGAGCCTGAGCACATCACATTTAAAGCCACTACACCCCTCTAAAAAACCCTCTGTTTCCACAATCATGGTGTTCAGCAATCTCACAAGTGCCCATAACTTTGGACTCTGAGATAATGACATAAATATCTAAACATCGGGAATCTCTTTCTTCTTGTGAAATCTAACTGCAGGGTTTATTTTAACCACAGGTCAAAGTTCCATTTTTCAGCCGAATTTCTCTACTTCTGATTTATATTGATGCTAAACTATATTATAGGGAAAAAAAGCAATTTCTGTTTTTCACCATCTGCCTTTAAAGTGACCACCACTGTAGAAGAGCAGAATTATGGCAGGTTTCTAGATAAAGAAGCTCGGTGGCACAGAGTTTGCCTTGTCCCAGTGTTTGCTTATGTACCTCTGGGAGTAGGGAAGAAAAAAGAAAATATTCAAAAGAATCATGAGACCTTCCCAAAGCCCCTTATTTCCTGCCTGCGTGGCCCTAGCCTATCTTACACTGCCATCTCCTGGGCACTGGGTGTCCCCAATCAGGTGGCTAATTTTCCTCAGCTGTGCTGGATATGCCACACACAAGACCACACCAGTTCCCTGGCTGTAGCTGTTCCAGGCATCATCCGCTGCACGTGGCAGTGGGCTCCTTGTCTCGTGTAATGCGAATCTGTGGAGTCTAAGCGTGTCGCTTATGGGAAGGAAATGAAGCGTAAGAGTGGTGGATTTCCTGCTGATGTCGTGAAATCTAAGAGAGTAAACCTTAAAAAAGAAAGACAGCAAATATTGTGAGTGATTGTTTGATGTTATGACCAAGAAGAGGAACTTCCCATAGCTGTTTTCTCTTTAATGCCAGGGCCATACCCAAAGAGGAGTGTGCCTTTCTATGGGTGTGGTCCCTCCCAGAGGAGGTGTTTTAGCTTCATCCCACAGAGGGTACCAATAAGAAAATGACTCTGAATACAAAGGACATTTCCTGCCTCAGCTGCACCCACAGAGGATAACAAGGCAACCAGTTAAGGTGCCATGATCCCCTTCCACAAACCCCATTCAGTTAGGACCCAGAAGTAGTAGCAAGAATAGGAGTCTGAGAAGGGAAAGCTTGTGGCTGCTGTTGTAAAGCTATGAGGTGGGACCTGAAGGAGTCTTTCCAGCTCACTACATGTGAGACTGAACTTGGCACAAGGCAATTAGCACAGGACCAGAAGAGGAGCCCATGGGAGTCTTGGTATTCACAGGAAGAAGACAAAGAGTTTTCCATCTTAATAAGGCTTAAATCTGAAGTGTGCTGATGAATGCACTCAGTCCCTCCTGGTCATTCAGCATGACAGTGCCTCAGACAGCTCTCTGGCTTTATCAAAGGCAACACAGTACCTTAGGAATCCGTGGATTAGTCCTTGAAACTGTCCTCCAAACTGTGATTGTTGCTTCTGACTCAAGAACAGAAGATGGAAACCTCTGTGGAGGCCTCCACTCCAGCGCTGCTTGCACACAGTAGATGCTAGGTTGGTCTCCAGCTAGAAAGATGGGAGAAACAATGAAAGTAACACGGGCCGGGGAGCACCTGTGAGCAGATGAGCGGCTGTCAAGAAAAACTCGCCAACAGTACGCTAGAGGATTCCAGACGTCATCACAATGGATGATCAGTCTAAGGTGCCAGATTCGGAGGAACCAGAGTGATCCCCTGAAGATGTCAGTGGCAGCAGGTGATGTGACTCAACGCTGCCAGTCATGCAGCACAAGTCTTTCTTAAGAACATCCACTCAGCTGTAGGGGTGAGCTCTGGTGAGGAAAAGCTGAGGTCTATTAAGAAAAGCAAAATAAGCCAGGCATAGTGTTAAACGCCTTTAATCCCAGTGTTAAGGAACAGGTTGTAGGGGGGAATTTCTGTGAGTTTGAGACCAGCCTGATCGACATAGTGAGTTCCAAGATAGTGAGAGCTGTGTAGTGAGACCCTGTCTCCAAAAACAGGAAAAATGTGAAGGAAGGAAGGAAGGAAGGAAGGAAGGAAGACAAAATTCACACTCAGAGTGGAGTGTTTATTTTGAAAGTAGGAGTTGAAAGTGTGTGTTTAAATGCAGGAGTTAAGAGGCACACTTAGTGTTTAATTACAGCGGTGTGTGATGTGAGGCCTTTAAAGGCATGGTGCTCAAAGGACATAACCTGTGGATGAGTGAAAAAACTAGGCAGCGTTAAAAGATGAAGAAAATCTGTGAGCTGATTTGCTCTTTTCTCGAAAGAATTTCCTTTTGTAAATGAGATGGTAAAGCGGCTTATGGGGTACACTGCTCAGGTTTGGGGATGAGAATGCCATACTGATACAGTTAAAATAAAAGATCATAAAGATGTGAGATGGTCATTTGACTGTAAGCAAGGTTTATCGGTCGGTCACATCAATAATCTTGTTTGGCATGCTGCACCTCAGGAAAGGACCTCCTGGCATTTCCTGGCAGGTTCTGTACATGTTCTTGACGGACTCAGAAGGTCCTGGTGGGTTCAGGACCTACCTAGTCCAGTATGCATTCACCTGTTAACATTCTATTCCCAGGTGGGGCCCTCTTCTGAGTTTCCTGGTGGGTGTGAAGTGGGATGGGTTCTACCCACTCACTCATGTTCTGCTCTGAAGCAACAGGGCTGTGGCCACTGAATGCAGATTGTGTGTGTATTAAACAGATCTGTGGTTAGGTTTTTACTTCGTTTTAACTCACCTGACAGTTTTCCTGTTTTGTCCATTTCTGAGAGCAAGGTGGTAAACAATTAGCCTTGATATGCAGGTGCTTTGTTGATATAAAATATTCATTTTCTTTTATGTATCTTATGTATCTTATTGGAGCTCATGAACACGTACTAGTTATACATCCTTATGTGTGCATATATCATATTTTGATCATAATCACCCAATTGCTCTTTCTTCTTCCTCCAATGCTTATTGGTCTCCTTTTCCTTCCTTTTCTCACCTCTACTTTTATGTCCCTTTTAAGGGGGCAAACAGATGAGTTTCATTAGAGTTGCTATAGATGAATGAGTAGGGGGTATTTACAGGACTG